ATTTTATTTCAATTTTTAATTTTCTCCTATTTTTTCTTTCCCTTATTACCTTTCCCCTACCCTTCCCACTTTCCCTACACTTTTAGCCCTTTTTTTCCCATTTCACAATGTTAGTTATCTCATTAGGATCTTATGTACTATTATAGTTTATTCACACCAGAGAAACTATTCGGTGTTTATACATGTGTGACTTATTTATTTCATTTAGGAGTATATCCTCAATATGTATCCATTTTCCTATGAATGAATCTAATTTCTCATTCTTTATGGCTGAGTAGTATTCCTTTTTATTGAAAAACCACATCTTCTAGTGCAATAACTATGGAAATCAATATGGAGATACCTCAAAGAGCTGGGACTAGAGGTTCCATTTGACCCAGCCATCCCACTTCTGGGAATCTTTCCAAAAGAATTAAAAGAATCATACCAGAGTGATATATGCACACACATGTTTATAGCGGCACAGTTTGTAATAGCTAAAACTTGCAAACAGCCCATTTGCCCAACAGTTGGAGATTAGACAAAGAAAAAGAAGAATTTGTAGAATGGGGAAAAATAAAATTTTGAAAATAAAAATTAAAAATAAGATCAAAAGAAAGAAAAAACGTGGAGAGTCTCTTTCAGCATATATCTCTGCTGTCATATTAGACAAGGTGGGCAGCAATGTGCAGATCTAAGTCAATTAGTCTCAGCTAGCCAATGGCCGACCCCTGAGATTCAGGCGGAATTCTGGCTGCAAGGCCAAAGTTGCGCTCCCTGATGTCCTGTAGCTTTGAACTTTGCGAGGCTCTACTGCAGATTCCAGCTGCCTTTCTCCTGAAGACCGTCCAAGTTCTGATGGAAGGTGGTGATCCCTCCAACTTACCAACTATGGAGGTCTGATATGCCTGTATTTCAGTTGTTCACTTCCATTCTATCTTCTGGAGCTCAGTAAAATGGCCTTTATGACCACCTGTGCCTCTGCAGTGTGGGTCCAAGGTACAGGCAAAACCAGGAGAGAATGGGCACGGTGGGGGGAGGGTCGGGGAGGAACGCTGCAGAGGTGCCCACGGGGCTGGGCAGTCCTCACTGGTTTCCTCTGATGAAGGCCTGGGGCACTGGAGTTGGGGAACAGTGAGCTCCCTGTGTGGCCAGGGAAGTCCTCCTGGTCTGCCTACCTAATTTACATTTATTTCTAAAGAGCTTCTTTGGAGGATTTCTGACCCTCTCCGGAAAGAGTATCACTGAAATGTAAGGCCTAGAATATAATTCAAATCATCCTAATCAGATTTCTCAGTGCTTGATCAAATCAGTAAGCTGTTTTGCTTAGCTTCTTGGTCAAGTTCATTCATTAACTTATAAAGCATTTATTGAATATATGCTGTGTCTACCCTTGGGCCAGAATGTAATAAGATTAGTAGATGAATTGAGCCCTGTCCTTTAGGAGGTTATAGTCTTATTGAATGAAGTGGGGGAAATAATAGAAAGCTATTTAAAATGTATGATGGCTTTTCTACTCTAAATATGTTAAAGGTCTTTCATGTCAGATAATTGACATTAACCCTGACTTTATGCTCTTGAAGCTGCATTATAGAATATTTTCTTTTCATATCTATTTCACAGTTAATATCACAATTCTTTTCAAAGATGCTTTTATGATTACAGCCATTCTCTACAAAGTGTTGTGAAATTAATAGAAAGAATCGTTGGCATTCTGTGCTTTTGCTGACTGGTTTTGGGAGAAGTCTGAGCAGGAGGAATGAATGAGAAGTTGAAACACCATTTTTTGTTTTGTTTTATTGGAGCAAATTGTAGCAGAAAACTGGTGCTCTTTCTAGCCCTCCAACAAAATACCAAGTTCTGCCAGACTCTTAAATGTTATCTTCCACAACCAAGATAAATTTAAATTGAAAAGTAACAAACACTAATTTTATTTGAGGTCTGAGCTATAATGACATTACTTTCTTATTTTGGAAGAAAATAATGTAGTCATGAATGAATTATTGGGAAAGTGATTTTTCCTTCCATTTATGGATGGACATTGCTGAAGGCAGGGAAAGCTGGAGCCATAAGCTACTTCTCACTCTCCTGTGGTACCTAAATATTTTTCTTATTTTCTTTCTTATATGCTGTCCTTTTATGAGACTCATTTACAGATTGGTAGTCACTTTGATGTTTCTTACTTATTTTTTCTCCTAATGTTTATATGCATCATAGATGTATATAGTTTTCTTCTATTAACACTATGTAAAACCAACTTAAATTTGCATTCACAAAGAGGACTATAGAACTTACTTGTTTCTGTTCACAGGCTAGAAAGGAGTATGATTCGACAGTGATTTTATTAAGGGTTAAATGTTTCCATATCTCTTAAAGTCACATCGCTCTTCCATAGTACATAGAACCTTTGCATCCTAGTTTGATTATTTGGGTGATCTCAGTCGTGGTGGTCCTAGTCAAGCAGAATAATAAGGTTTTGGTTGTCAGAGCCTCCAAGTTTTGATGAGTTAGACTACAACTTTTACTGGTGACTGACAATAGAATTTTACTTCTGTCTTTTTCTTCCTCCTTTCCTCCCCCATCTTCTCTGCTCTCCTCCTGTTTCTCCTTTTTCCTGATCACAGCTCTTTAGGGCAGTTTATAAAAAGATGAATGATTTGTGTTTCTCTCACTCACCTGAAACTGAGAAGTTTTCGATCATTCTAAGGCTTTGTGCTTGTAGCACTGTTAGGTAGTTTTGTAAAGCTCTTAACTTCAGATTGTAGAGACTGTTACTAACCCCAACATGGGACCTGTAGCTTTTACACCACACAGATCTGATTCTCTTCTAATGGCACAGAATTGCCAGACTAAAGCCCTTCAAAGCCAGAGGAAATCTGAATGAAAAATGTTCAAGAAGTTCCTTCTACTTAGGTGGAAAATGGCTGGGGTTGAAGGATCACTGTAAAAGATCTTTCACTGTTTCTTTCTTGTTGCTTAATGATATGGAATATATTTTGGGGTGAGGGGCCAAAATTGAGGCTGTGAATTATTTACCTTGCCTCAAGTGGTGAAAGGGAGCATTAAGTCATTGGAGAGTCCCCATAAGAAGTACTCTATATTTTAGTGACCTTTCAGGGGGTTATATAGCAGATACATTGCCTGCTGCCCAGTGGGAGCTTTTGAAAGTAGGCTATTGGAAAAGTTGATATGGTCACTTCCAACAGCTGAAGAGCCACCAACTATTTCTATAAATTCCCGAGTAATGCAAGAGATGAGAGAAAGAGAAAAGGAAAAAGAGGACTGGATACTTGCTGAGCTCTCTGACAGTAATTGATTAATGGTTGCACAACTCTGTGTTCTTTACTCGTTCTACTCAGCCTTTCCTTGGGCTTGGGGGCTACTCTTCTTCTTGCTCAAATTCACACTTTCCATTTATGGATTGACATTGCTGAAGGCAGGGAACATGCAGAGAGATCACCTGCCCTTTAGGGTCCAACTAACTTTATATTCTGCTTTTACCCCTTCTCTTTTCTGGGTGAGTACCGTTTCCTTTAGTGGCTCAGTGATGTTGGGATTCACTGCAGGTGTGCCCATTGTTGCTTTCCTGCTCTCCACCTGTTGTCTGCAGCCTGGCTCCATTTTGTGATGAATTGGTGAAGGAGCCTGAGGACGGGGCTCCAGTGTGTCTGCAGGCTTGGTCTCTGAGGTAGCAGGTTGCTGCTCCAGTACTCCTGCCATGAGAGACAAGGAGCAGAGAGCCAACTGGAGGTCAAGCACATGGTGCAACTGCAGATATTTTTCTTTAAATTTCCCCTTGATGAATCTTGGTAAGTTATTGTTCTCCTATATTCCCCTGTTGTGATGAGTTAATGTGCAGATTTTAGATCTTACTGGTGCCTCACAACAGAATTTTATTTCAGGACACAGAAGGAAACCTCTTGAGAATGTGCGTGACTGCAGATTGCTATGCCTCACCCTCATCCTCATTCAGGGCTCAGAGCTGCTGCAGCCCAAAACCCACCTGATTCTAATTCAGTTGCTTCTCAGCTCACACTTAGGTACCACCAAGAAGGGAAAGCCATCTCCCTTCCTAGGAGCTATTCTTTAATCAAGTATGTGCTCAGACTTAGTTTAAGCCCCCTTCTCTCACATTTTTAATGGGACTGTTCAGAAATTAAACTTCTGTGATTCCCAAGAGCCCCACAGATCTCTCTGGTTGATCTCTCTCTTCCTTTTTCTTGTTTTTCTTGTTCTCTCCTTGATATTTTCCTCTTTTTTCCCTTAGCTGAATAGTGTCAGTGTTTGTTTTGCTAAATCATCTCCTATTTCTTATCTTTGTAGGCCAAAATTGGAGATGCCTTTCTCAAACCTCTTGATTCATTCTCTCTTTTTTGGCCTGATTCTGTTGCATTCCACTAAACAAACTTAGATTCGTATGTGTGTGTGTGTGTGTGTGTGTGTGTGTGTGTGTGTGTGTGTTGTCCGTGTTTCCTTACTGTGGGCCTTGGTAAGATTTTTTTTTTCTTAGCATGTATAGTTTCTTTCCACATGGAAGTCAGCCTCTTTGAATTTATACCCCAAAGTTTAGTTTGTCCTATGCAGGGTAAAGAAGAATGTTCTGAAGAGAAGAGGGGAACAAGAAGGGACTTTCAGCTATTATCAATCCTGGACAGTGAAGGGATTTCAGTAGAAGACCTCATGAGCCTATTTTCCTTGCTTTTTTCTGGTAACTTGAAAATTCTCCAATAGCCCAAACTCTTTTCCTATAGAAAGCCCTTTCCCCTTATTAGGGACTTACATATTGGTTTTTAGTTCTGAAGCAGTATTTCCCCATGGTGGCCTTTTCAAGCTCCCTGTTTTTTGGGACCTGCCCTCAATATGGTTAAGAAAGGTGTATTTGAGTGCAGTTGTAAAGAGTTCCAGATGTGGAAGGCTAATTTGGGCATTGTTTCCATCCCATGGGAAATTCTGAGCTCTGTATGAGATTCTGATGTTGGTTTTTCTTTGTTTTTGTTTTTTGTTTTTTCTTTTTGCTGCAGGAAAGCAATCTCCCGGGCAGGCCTCCAGCATCTGGCTCCTGTACATCCCCTCAGCCTTCCTGTGGCAAATGGTCCAGCAAAGGAGCCCAGAGCGACTCTGGACTGGAGTGTAGGTGTCAGCTTTTACACTTCCTCATAATTCCAGTTGCATGTTGTGCTTTCCTTCTCATTCTCAGATTCCTATAGCTACAAGAAAGATTGACTGGACAATGTCTCTAGATATCTAAGCAATAGTTCCATTTGTAAACTCCTAAGGATACAGTTCCTTTACTGAAATCAGATGTGTTCAAGATTAAAATAAGAACTTCACTAAGCATTTGAAAAGTTATTCCCTGGCCTTCCATGTAAGAGATAAAAAGTGCCTTCTACACAAGGATTATTGGTTTTTACCAAGCTGATGATAAATAGAGCTTAACCTTAGCAATATCATAGCATCTAAGTTGGATTTCATCAAACATCTTTTTCTATGTCAAACTGGCTCTTCGGAGTATCTTTTGTTCTGACAGATTATCTCATATTACATTCTAGGTATGTCCTGTTTCCCTCTTGGTTGTACTTTCTTTCTCAACCTGAAGGCAGGTGGTGCTTGCAGCAGCAGGTTGGTTATAATAGTTGATGTTGACATTTTAACCAGAACACACCCACAAACCTACTGAATTAATTTGAAGACTGCAGGCTCAAATCTGAAATCAGTTAGAATACGCTCATTGGGAGTCTTCAGTAGCCAAGTTCTTTGATGTCAGTAATCATGGACAGAAAAGTTGGATCTCTTCCTCATGCAAGTAAGCAATGACATCTAGTAGAGGAGGGAGGGCTGCTCTGAAGTTCTGCATTTTTATCTTGATGATGAACCTTGCTCAGTGTTTTTAGTTAAGCTTGAATGGACAGGATAATCCATGATTTTTTTCCCTGTTTTATGGAACAGAATGGTGGAGTGGGGGTAGGGGGGGATTTTGTAAAATTTAAGTTTATTATTTATTTATTTATCGGTACTGGGAATTGAACTCGGTGCTGCACTTGCAAGGCAGGTGGCGGCACCACTGAGCTAAATCCCTGGCTTTAAATTTATTTTTAACCGATAAAAATCATACATGTTTATGAGGTGTCATATGATGTTTTGATACATATATACATTGTAAATGTTTAAACCAGGACAAATATATCTACTTAAATATTTACCATTTATGGTAAAACATTCAAAAGCCTTTCGTCTAGTTTTTGGAAATATAAAGTATATCATCACTCATGATCACCCTGTTGTGAAATAGCACATATGAATGTTTTAGGCTTATTTACCTATAACTAACCAATTGACCAATTTGCCATTTCTCTTACTCCTATATTCTCCACAGCCTCTAGCTACCACCACTCTATTCTCAATTCTATGAGATCATCTCTTTTGAATTCTATGTCTATGCGAGATCATGTAGTACTTGTCATTCTGTGCCTGGCTTATTTCTCTTAACAATAATGACCTTAAATTCCAACTATGTTGTTGCAAATGATAGGATGTCATACTTTTGATGGCCGAACAGTATCCCATGATGTAAATGGACCATACTTTCTTTATCCATTCATCTGTGAGTGAATACTTGGACTGTTGACATTCCTTGACTGTTATGAATAGCACTGCAACAAGCTCAGGAGTGCAGATGTCTCTGACATACAGATTTCATGGTCTTTGATACATGTGCTGATCATATGACATTGTTTTTAATTTTTTGAGGAACAGTTCATCAATGCTAGTTTATATTTCCACCAAAGTAGAGCAAGTTTTCCTTTTTTTCTCCACATCCTCGGTAGAACTTATTATGTTTTGTCTTTTTGATAAAAGCCATTTTTACTGCGGAACAAGTTAGGGTGATTGATATCTTATTCTGGTTTTGATTTACATATACATGATAATTAGTAATTTTTATCATTTTTCATATATATGTTGATTGTTTAATATTTAGGCCTATTATCCATGTAAAATAGAATTATTTGATTTTTTATGCTATTGAGTTCCATAAACATTCTGGATATTAATCTCTTGTTATTTGTATAGTGTGCAAATATTTTCCTTCATTGTGTAGGTTGTCCCTTAACTCTGATGTTCTTTTGTTGTGCAGAAATATTTTAGTTTTATATGAGCCAGTTGGTGTATTTTGGCTCTTTTTGCTGTCCTTTTGAGGTCTTCGCCAGAAACTCCTTGCGCATTTCATTGTACTGAAGGGCCTGGGATTTAGCTCAGTAGTTCCAGCCCCTGCTTTGCCAAGAGCAAGGACCTGAGTTTGATTGCAGCACCAAAAAAGAAAAAAAAAATCAATGCACTAAAGTACTTACCTATATTTTCTTATGTTTTCCCTTTGTTTCCTTATGTTTTCTTCTAGTAGTTTTATAATTTAAGTCTTTAGTACATTTAGAGTTGGTTTTATAACTGGTGAGAAATAGGAGTCATTCTATTCTGCTTATAGATATCCAATTTTTCCAGCACCATTTATTAAAAATACTGTTATTTTTCTGATATATGTTCTTAGCATCTTGGTTGAAAAATCAGTTGAGTGCAGGTACATTTTCAAAGAATAGATGCCATGATTTAACCTCCTTTCTAACATTTTCTTATCCCAAGAACACACGACATTCTATTTTACATTCTGAACACATACCAGTATAACTGCTGCTTCCATTTATGAAGTGTCTGGCAAAAGACTAGATGCAATTGAAGTGTAACTTCTTCCTTGATGGAGATGATATTATGCTGAGAGCCCTTACATACCACCTTAGTGTGTAGAGGAGGTGTCTGGGAAGAATACTCTTTTGCTGGAGCTTCCCTTTATTTTAGGGTAGCTAGATCAGAGTATAAGTTACCATTACAACAGAACAGAATATAGACTACATGTAGTAAATAATATATTTTACCCATGATTCATGAAAAAGTATATTTATACAAATGTCTGTATAATTTAAAGGAATTAATGGTATAAATAAACAGCTAATAAAATTGTAGAGGATGTGCATGAACCAGGAATGAGTGTGTTATGAATGAAACACTAGCAGAAATCAATTTAATATTCATGATATTTTATACAGTCTTTTGACCTGAAGCAGCAGAACCATATCTGAGATGGGATGTTCTAAAGATAGTTTAAATCATTAGTTTAGAGATATTCATTTTACCCTTTCTCTGCCCATTGCTTGAAGTTAACCAAGTTCCTTGATTTTGCTTAGCTTCCTCATGCTCCTTTGTAAGTGGGGACAGTTGTGGCCTCTCCTTCAAGGTAACTTCTTGAATGTTTTTAAGCATGGCAGTAAGTGTGAAGAATGTAAACTGTGGCAATCTGTAGTTTTATTTATTCAGATCTAAAGTAAGTGATGGATCTATCAACTTGTCAACATTTATTGATTGCCTGCTTTGTACTAGAATGTATGTGACTTCCTGGGGATCATGAGGTGAAGAAGATATGAGTTCTGCCTTCAAAAATCTTGGACTTGCGTGAGAAGAAAATAAATCAGAGTATGGGTTGGTGATAACTAGAACAGAGGGGCTAGGAGGGGTCCCTGGAATGCAAAAAAAGACTCTCTGTCCCCACTTGATGTCAGAAACAGTTACAGCAAATGCTTTCAGTAGGTGTCCTGCTTGAGTGACATTTGGGTATAAGGTGTTATTTTCTGATTCTGGTAGAGAGATATGTATTCTAATATTTATCATAATTGTAGTTTTGGCTAGTGGTGGGAGGCTATAATACAGAATAGGGAAGCAAATAGGAACCAAACCTGGGTTTGAGTGTAGGGGTCTTTTATTTCTCCCTATCCTCCTCTCTGCTTTGATTGTGGGCATCCTGAATGGTAGTCTGTTGAAATTACAGCATGGCAGGATGTAACCAGGGGAATATTTAACAATACAGGAAAAATGGAAAGCCCTAGGGTGCTCCATCTGATGGCTTTGTTAGAGATCTGATGTGTAGGGATTTAGGAGATATTGCTATGAAAACACCATATTTATGGACTAACAATTATGTTAGCAAACAGAAGCCACACCAGAATCAGTATTACACTTTTTTATTATGGTCACAAAAAACACTTGTATCAAAAGAGGAAGAAGCACATTTAAAAAAATATTTCAGTGCCTTTTTATTTTTGCTAAGACTTTAGATTTCTTGCTTTTGCTTTAAAAATTTTGGCTGTTATTACTGAATGTACTTTTCAACAATTACATTTATAGCATGTTAGTTTGCTCTTCTGTTCAAGGATAAGAATCAAATTTCTCTCCTTTGTTTAAAGTGCTAGAAGAATCTTTGGATTTGCCCATTTCTTTTATTCCACACACTGGTGTGATTTCTTATGGAAATGCAGTGAGACAACTTTTCTCCCACCACCAGCCATCTTTTCTGGACTCCTTGTTTTAAAATGAGCAATCTTTACTTATTCAGTACAACTAGTAGGAGGGCTGATAAGGCTTTGAATTTCTTAGGAGCCTATCAAATAAGAAGGAGGATAGCAAGAATTAAAAACAAATGAAAGTAAATGGGCTGTGGTTGGTAGCTCAGTGGTACAGTGCTTCCTAGCATACATGAGGCCTGGGTTTGATATTCAGCACTGCAAATAATAATAATAATTTAATATTAAATAAAAATAGAGGCTCCAGGTACTTACCTTGTGTGAGGTGTATGTGAAGTGATACTTCTGAGGTTTGTGAGCACAGTGGCAGACCAAGCATGAGGAAAGATAAGAGTTCCTTTTTCCTCTTCCTACTCCTCTTAATGCCTGGATCAAAATTTCCTTTGCTCCATATTGTTTTGCTCAGGGGGATGGGAGTCATCTCGCAGGCCTTTGGCTTTATTACCTCTTCTTGCCTCACTTCACCACTAAGGAAATGATACCAAAGCCGTTCATGGTCAAGATACTTTAGGATCAATCTGGAACTAGGATCATAGTCGCCAAGTTTTTTTTTTTTTTTTCAATGCTGGGGCCTTTTCACTGAGCTATGAACCCAGCCCTTCTTTATTATTATTATTTTTTTATTTCGCGACTGTCTTGCTAAGTGTCTGAGTTTTCCAGGTGGCCTTGAACTTGTGATCGTCCTGCCTCAGCCTCCCAGAATGGTGGGATTATGGGCATGTACCACTG